CCTCAGTTCGATAGATAGATAGATGGACTCTAATCAGGCCAGAAGTGTGCCAACCACACTGAGAGTAATCCATTTTATGGCTTTATTCGCGCATAGCTTCGGCCGGTATGTGTGATGGGAACCAGGAAAAGCAGAAAAAAGAAGTTGATCGGCAGCTCTTGACCCACAAAACGTGCAAATTATTCCGCGTGATGCGTCGAGTTCTGATTTTCGTAACGACCAGCTATGAAATCGAGTTTTCTTCTGCGGTGATTAGAGAGAGGATGTGTGATCGAATTTTTCATATGAAACGAGACAGAGATGCTGGAGACTTTCGCTAGCAACCGCAGTAATGTGGGCCTGCACGTCCTTGATTTTCACTTGATTTTCAATATGAAAATTAAAAGAGTCGCAATAATCCGTTTTCAGGAAGTTTTGTAAGAATCGGTTGATTGAAAAATTCTGAAGCAGAAATCCTTATTTTTTTTTTGATAAAATATTTTTTCGTGATGAAATTTTCTCAATAATATTTTCAACATTTTTTTAGGACTTTGGTAAATCAAAGAATATTTTCTTGATATTTTTTTTATCTTTTATGTTATTTTTCTTTTTTTAATAAAATATAATTTTAAATGACTAAAAAGATTTCAAAATCTGTATCCTACCATTTATCACAGGATTCCATTTATAAAAAATTTGGTAAAAAAAGGCGCAGGCACTTTGAACTTTGATTAAATACATAGATGATATCCAACAATCCAACTGTATCCGCTTTTTTTCCATTATTATTTTAATTATTTATTTTTGATTATTTTTTTATCAATATTTATACGAAATTGCAAAAAAAAATATCAAAATTTTTTTTAAACTTCTTAGTACTGCATATAAACGATTTTTTAACTAAAGAAATTAAGCACTATAGGTTTGTACAATAGTTAAATACAATTAAAAAATTATCATCTAAATTTTTTTAGTAAAATAAAAATTTATTTTCCATGCCTGATTTTAAATTTTAAGTGTTTTACTTTATTTTGTCACGACTTACTTCCCATTGTTAAACAAGTCGCTCCCTGCTCTCTTTGATGCGTTCGTACATCCTTTTGTGATCGCATCTTGCGTACTTTCTAAGTTTTCTAACAGCATCTTCCGATAATACAATTCATTGTCGTCCTCAGAAAATATCAAAGAAAGCCAGAAGAAGCTGCTCTATTTCTTTCATTAAAGCAAAAGGAAGCGAGTCTTTCTACTTTTTACACCCACGATTTTGATTGTTGACCTGTCCGATTTTTTTTATTCGCGGACCAAAAGCAAACGGTTTTTTATTATGTGAAATCTCCGGACAGCTCATAAGAGCACAAGCTTTGAGTTTCGCCGCCACAAATTTATATAAATTTAATTCTCACACGCCGAGACATCTTCCTGGTCTTTCATATTTTTCACGTTCACGCGTGGTCTTCCCATCTAATTCGCCTTTTCATTGTTGGTGAATGTGTGCATACGATTCACAAGGCGCGGTGAATAGGATAATGACGCTGCCACTAGTGTAGTACGTACACCAGCGAGTGCAGAGCGAGCGGCAATCATAAAAATAATGCCGAGCTGCCATCGTTACATTGGGTTCATTGATCTGCGTCTTGGAGCTCGGCAGACGCAGGCAGACCAGTCATTAAACCGGGTACAAGCTTATTGAAAAGATCATTCGCGCGAAAATCTCAAATCTCATCGTTGCGGATTTGCAAGGCGATTCAATTATAAAAATTAGGATGATAAAGTCCACGAAGTGATTTGTCTCGCATTTGCATAAAACTTTGGAACTTGCGTTTCTAAGAAAGTCGCGGATGTAAAAATTCGTGTTCGTCGGGGAAGTGTGTTTCGAGTGCTTCCTTGTTTGCTTAATGAATTGTCATGTTTCCTCTTTCTTTTTAGATGTTGTGTTTTACACCGCATATTAGTGGAAATAAGGACAGTGTACTGTTTTTCATATGTTTAATGACTACAGATTTTTTTTTCTCTTCAATTATATTTTAAAACTCTAAATTTTATGTATGATGAGCAAAGCCATTTTTAACTGAAATAACTGAAATAGCGAGAAACTTAGCATTTTATTAGGGTATGATAAATCATAAATCATTATTATTAAAAATGAGATTGTAACATCAAAAAATGGAAACTTTGATAATTATTAAGAATTTGAGTTATTTGCCCCATAAAAAATAACTGCTGCGCTATATGATTGTGAACACAGATAAAGAAACAAAAGATGATAATTTTTATTCAACATTTAAAATTTCTTTTGAAACACCGTCTGAATTCCATGAAAGTATTTAAAATTCCATTAAAAAAAATCCTTCAAATTCCAAAACTGTTTCCTTTTTTTCTTGTGGGAAAGAGTGCATCAAAAAATTTCCGGTGTCAGACTCTTCAAAAAAAACTTTACTACTTCCATTGTGCAGCTTAACAAGTTCAAAGCCGAGATTCATTTTCAGACTGAATTAAGATTAAAACATGCAATGAGAAGCCAATTTAAGTTGAAGTCATAAAAGTGTTTGTAAAAAGATGATCGATTAAGATTGCAACTAAAATTTTTCAATGCAGTTTTTGCTCTGAAGAGAGCCAGCTCGCATTCTTCCCACTCTCAATGTCAGCGAAATCCAGATCGGTCGATTAATTTCCCACTGAGATGCTTAATACACGTGATGTATGTAAATTCGAAATTCCTCCGCCGGCTTTATGGCTTCGCTTGCCCAACGCTTTACGCAATACATAAAATGGCCAGCCGCGTAATTTATGTGACCAGCCGAGCAATGAGCGTGTTCCAGGTGATGATTGATGACAGCTACACGTCAGACCACTTTACCAAACTCAAAGGATGCGAACTGTTATCAGCTGCCCGTGTGGAAAACGTAATCTATTTTTCATATAGAAATGTATCAAATGTATTAATCATCAGGCAGGGGCATCAATCAAGAACAAAAGTTTGGAAAATAACGGTTTTGACTGGACAGCACCTTCTGACGTTCTTTGAAAACAAACACGCAATTTGGCCGGCAAATATCAACAAAAGTGATAAAAATCTAAAGACTGGTTCTTTATAAAGGTCCTGCGCTCGTTTATTTCATTTGGGAGGTTGTTTTGACCAAATGCTAAAGCAGTGCTAAAGGAAAGAATTTTCAGTTCAAAATAATATATAATATTTCCGTAAAATATTTATTTTCAGTTGAAAAACATACCACATGGATGCGCAAATGCAAAATTATACAAATATTGATATCTATGATGTTAACTAAAATTACGAAAATTACTATTGATAAAAGCTCTGTATTTTGTAAAGAGAAAAGAACAAAATTCCAGTGAATAAAAAATTGAAATCATAGAATTATTTAATAAAATTTCACCTACTAATATACAGAGTGATATCAAATGAACCATCAATACTTCCAGACCCTTGTTGTGAAAATTATGAATTTTCAATTTGTTATTGCATAATTTTATTATCATACCATAATTTAAGAAATTTTTTTTCATAGCTGAGTAAGTTTAAATAATGGAATATAAGTCATCTAGTCGAAAAATTTTCTATGATATCATGTATTTCTCAAAGTAACTACATAATCTGCATTAGATCCCCTTATATATTTATTTTCGTCAACCATGTGTAAAAATTTACAAAGAAAATTTATTTTAAATATATAAAATAATTAAAAATAAATTTATTTCAAAATAATCATTTTATAAAAACTATTTTTTTAGCTAAAAAATTACTTATTGCATTAAAAAAAATTTATTATAGTTAATGGTGCATAAAGTTTTATTATTTTTTTGAATGTAAAACATTAAATTACAATACTTTTTGGAATTCCGTTTAAAAACACGAAATTGCTCAACGCCCATCAAAATTTATTTCATTCAAACGAAAACAGATCGTGTTCCACATTTTGGCTGAAAACAGCTTGTTTCGTCCCAATGTTTTTGTGAATCGATTATCAGAGCGCTTTGAAAAACAGTCAGCGCGGATATATAATTGTACCGTGCAGTGATTGCTCAATTAGCTGGCACTGACCCACAAGATGTGCTCTCTCAGGGCTAACGGTCGAAAAACGCAAACAAGATCTTTTCCTATTTTACTTCGGCACGACTCCTTGTCGTAAAACTTTTACAACCGCACCTGATCAGCTCGTGTGACGTTTTATTTTACTCGTTTAATCGCCGAATTTTGATCAAACCGAATCTTTCTACAAGTCATTAACTTTCAGATGAGTATTTTTTTTAATTGCCACCTCAGAAACAAGCACCGTAAATAAGCAAATCGGCGGCTCCGTTAGTGTGTATGTTGTCGTGCAAGCAGTCGCGCATAAACACACAGGAATTCCTCTAATTTGGACGGTTTTTAATTGCCGTAGTAGGTTGCATAACTGCCGCGAGATATGCATCGCCTGTGCTCGAAAAAGGATTTCTCACACTTGGCTTTCTTTTTATTAACATGTCAACGAGGATGGGAACAAAAAAAAAGAGGCAGTTGAAGTTTTGTGGCTTCTCAACCGGCTTGTTTGGATGCCGATACGAGCAAGGCAATAAAGAAGCAGGCGAATATAAAAGTGTCGCCTCGGCAGCGCAATATCTCAATTACGGCGCGTCGAAATTAATAAAACACGAATGTTAAATCGTATAAATTCCTATAAGAGACACGAACTATGAACTTTTCAACAGCTTCCATAACTTAATGAGGAGAGTGCAAAAAGTGCTTACAAATTTATATAACAAACAAGTGCAACCGTGTAATTTGTCTTGCTTGATTTTCGCTCGAGATAAAAACGGGGACATAAATTTTTTGTGATTAATGGCGTCTAGACCAGCTCTTTTGAAAAAAATCAGCCGGGAATGCGACGAGGTTAATCAAGAGGTAAATCAAAAATCAGAGAACGACTTTGTCAGTGTCGGGAGTGCATTATATGTGAAAGGGAGATTAATCGTGGGGAGGATAAAGGGTTGTTGTTTGATCAGAATAAGAAATGTCTACTCACCCCGTCAGGTCGATTGACGTCGGCACCGCTCAGGAGAAGACTAGCGACCACGTTGGCGTGGCCCGCCGAGCAAGCCAGGTGCATTGCGGTGCGGCCAGCCTAAAAATGCATAGCAAAAGAACAATAATTTAAAACTGTAAATTAATTAAATTAACTGTTTAATTTATCCCATATTATGAGAATCAATATTGAACATCATTCTGCTGAATCTATGAAAAAAATTAAAATTTACTATAAAATTAATCTACTTTTCAAGCAATTTTTTTAATCTATCGTCTTACTATAAAAAATTATTTGTTGTGAGTTCTCATTTGGCAAAAATCAATCAAACACAAATACAAACAACTTTTCTTTTATATCAAATATTGACAGTCAGTGAGATTCACATGAGTTCAACCTTCACTCGGCCTTTGGAGTTGCCAAACGTTTATAAGAATCGAAGCGGAAGAATTGCATTCACGCGCTATGGGGCCGATCAGAAATTATGATTCGTAATCGTAGTTGCGAGAAAAATAGATGGATTCGAGCCGGCAATTTTTCACAGTGCGGCGTCGTTCTCTCTGTGAGAATTTTTTGTGTGGCCGCGGACTGAATAAGTAATTAGCAATGGTCGTTTGGCCGAGGCGGCGCTTTTCAGCCCCAACAATGCCGCACGCCGGCAGGACAATGCTTATTAATGAAGCAGGGACCGAAAAACGGCGATCCTCCCGCCAGTGTGCGGCTATTCTCGAGAAATTATATAGAAAAGAGAGAGACGTGCTATTTGCTGAATCACTTTTATTAAGTGATAATGAAGAGAATAGAGCAACACATTCAGTTCACACAATTAATTGTTTTCAGATGAGGATAATCCTCAAAATAATGTTGAAGTAAAACTAATTTTGTTTTGTTTAATTTTTTTAAATATTTGAATACAAAAAAAAAATAGTATACTTTAAATTTATATATGAATGTAAATTCTAGTTAGTACGTATTTATATTTTTGCGTGAAATATTCAGCCTTTTCTAAGTCGTAAATAAAAAAATTCACACTTCTAAGATTTATTAAATAATTTATAACGTGTTTAGGGTATTAATTTGTCTTTGAAAAATTATTCTAATAATGCCTTGGCTAAATGATCTTGTTTTGTAAATTTGCGTCATATAAATTAATTAAGTTAATTAATAAGGATTTGTGCTGTACCTCATCTGGCTCCAATTTGATGCCCTCGCCCATGAGCCGGACGATTGTGTCTGAGTCGCCACGGACGGCGGCCTGTCTGACCTCCTCCATCAACTCGGCTTCGGCCGCCGATGGGGCGTGCTTGGTCCTGCCCAAGGGCATCGTCTCCTCACTTCACGGTGGAATCACCAGCCAACTAAAACAAATAAAAATCAAATTTTTTAGCAAAAGTTAAACAATACAATGAAATATTTATTATGAAAATTAATTTTAAATGCCTTTATAGCTAATTACACGAATAAGAGTGCTATAGAAATTATTCAAACGTTTGGATAATATCCATCAGTTCATCAATGTGACTTAGACGGGGTGGGCAAAAAATTACAAAACCACCTGAAAACCTGTGCCGAGAGCAACACCGCGCCAAATAATGTCCTTCACAAATTTACACAGTCAGACCTATTTAAATTTCCACTAGATTCAGTTCTAATTACGAGCCTGATCAACTCACAAAATCAATTAACAAAATTACAATCACAGCTCTCAAGCGAGATGCACTCGAGGGCGGCTGAAATAGAAGTGTTCGTTCTTAATAATTTCATATACAAAATTATACACAGGGCTGCTTCGTGCAACATCGGCAATTTTAACTTAATTTCATTGGTCGTCCTCCAGAGGGTGGGTTGTCCCTCCTTTGGCTTGACCCTGAACTTGTTTACCAAAAATCAAAGGTCAAAGGAGGCCGTGCTCTTTTCTTTCTTTGAACACTTCCTGCCCTAAGATCGGCACAGAAAATCATGAAAGATAAATTTCCATTCAGCAACGCATTCAAAATTCAAAATATCGTCCCCTGCCAAAGTGAAATTTACAACTCATTATTCGTAAAATCGAAAACTGGCAGCTGACGAATGTTTGTTGCACTTTCCGCACATGCGGCGCGAATCTCACAAAGATGCACTATTCTTTCAAATGCACACATGTTGGCCACTTGCGGATGCAACGCTTGGGTCGCGTATTGTTTGTTGTCCACTCGGCTTCCTGCAGGCCTCGCAAATAAGCGTTTCAATTCTCTTTTCTTACTCTCAGCTCATGACCATTGCACGTTATAAATCTGAACGTGTACTTTTATTAAATAATTTTCCTTTTATTTTAAATGCTCTCTATTGGTTTAATGAATCATTAATCGTAAAATTACCTTTTATTAAAATTTAATTTCAGGTTAGTCGAATGTATGCATTGGGATATTATAAGTTTGCATTCGGCTGAGGTCCATACTTAAAATGGCAGGTGCTTGCGAAAGTAAAAAAAAAATCCATTATTTGTCGTGACTAATTCGACACGCAGTGCCTGTGTAAATGCAAATGAATCCAAGTTTGTTCAACTCCGTTTCTCCAAACAAGCGCCCAAGAGGCTTTTATACATTCGGAAAGCCTCTTTTTTTTCTTTTTTCAAAACGTACGACCGAATGACACATGACTACCTGACCGGCAGATTTTTAAAATGAGTTGACAATTCTCGGTGCTGCGCGCAGACGAAGAATGAATGTCGCAATCGTTTTGTCATCTCTCTCGCGGTGCATCTCGCGCTAATCGTTTTCCCAACCGATGGACCTTTCTTATTTAATTGCGCCTATTTAAGAAATTCGTGACAAATTAGTCGACCGATAAGCCCACGAGACCATAAATTAATACACGAGCACTTAAAAGGTCCTTTTCACGATCTCTCTCTCGCGCTTTGAAATTCAATTAAATAAAACAGCGCGACGCACTAATGGAGCGCGTCTTGAGTGGGCTGTAATTTTTAATTAGAGTCCCTCTGTTATGCAAATGCGACCAAAACAAAACTCAAACTTTTTTGTTCTGAACAATGAAATTAGACATGTGGCTTCATTAATGCACACAGCCTACTCGCATCTTGCCCATATTTTTCTTTCTCACAGACATTCGAAACAATGGCCGCCGTCGCTCGCTGCCGTGTTGAATGAATTAAACACAAACTGCACACCTCTGTGGCAGATGTGTGTGGGAGGAAACACGACAAACGGACACTCCAGCAATTGATTGGGCGCTGCATACACTCCAACAAGTGACACTTTTGAGCTCACTGGAAAACAACACGCATGCAAATCGCTAATAATTCCTGAAACTGAAACTAATTCCATTTTGGAATGGGTCCTAGCGATTCATGTGTTTGTCAAAGGAAACGGTAAATGATTGGCAACAAATGCAATGTGACCATGTAAAGGATTTTCCCAATTAATAAAAAATTTCACCGAAAGAAATGTTAAATTAAAAAAAACACACACATGGTTCAAGGTTCAACAGTGAAATAACAAATTACTCTAGCTTAGCAAAATTTATAAATTGTTAGTACTTAAAGCAATATAAGTTTGCAAAAATTTAAAGTATTTATAAAATTTTGCACCAAATATTATTTTTTCTTTAATATTTTTGTAATATATATCGTTTTTTATTTTATTTTTTATTTTCAGTTATTTTAATCTTTGATTTTATTTAAAATTATACAGAATAAATGACCATTTTTAAATATTAGTATTAAAAAAGATCAACTTAAATTTATAATTATATTGTTTCTCTTGTTGCATATTTTAAAGATCAATGATAATTCATAATGTTACGCCTGCCTCCTCACTATGGATTTTATTCATTTATGCCTGAAATTGAGAGTTGTAAAAATTATAATAAAATTGTATAAATTATATCACTGATATTCTGTTTTACTGTTATATTTTTATAATATTAACTTACTCTCATGTTTCAAAAACTCTAATCCTCAAAATTTGGAATAAAATAAATATATTTATAAGTAATACTCAATATCTATGTTAACTTTTCACTAAAAATATTTTCATTTGCCTGATTGACAAGCCGACATAGAACGTTAATTTTGCGGAGTCAACGTGGAGACCTTTCTTGACTTGCTGCATGTGCAAGTGGCGGCTACACACATTAAATATGTTATTACCGCGGCGACCATACATTTTTATTACGCGAGATTTCATGCTTCGAATCCTTGGATGACCTTGCCTCCGTTGCTCCACCTGACTGGGCAAGTGAGTGAGATTGGTGGAAGGTGCTGCTGCTTTTTGTCTTTCGGCTCGCGGCTCTTATGAGATTTTTTTCTCATTACACTCTCTCCCTTTTTAAATCCAAGCTTTTATATAATGCAAGCCGCTTGGTGATCATGAGAGCACAAAAAGATTTTTTATAAATTCAAAGTGATGGACGACGAACGACCAGAGAGTGAGCTCGGAAGCTTTTAGACAGATCATTGAGCAGGATTAATTTCTAATTTTCATCGGTGAGTCTCGTCACGATTTTATCTTGAAGTGTCCGCCTGGGAAAGGAAGTGCACTGGTTTTATTAAGTTGAATTTTATAATGTTCGGCATTAACGATAATTTAATGTTTATTTCGAGATAATTAATAATTACACAACATGCATAGACATTTAAAATTAATTAATCAACCTGTTTAGGAGGCAAAAAAATTAAATTTCAAAGGTGTACAAATGTAAACAGTTTTTATTTATTTTTAAGATAAAACACTGAAATGACAATATTTTCAAACTTTCAAGCAAAATAAGCAAAAATCTAATTTTATTCCTTCAAACTGCGTTCTTAATTTAGTTAATTAGCTTCATTAAAATTCTGTTAGAAATAAAACAAACCTGTATTTCTATCTAATTGATCAAAAGTAATAAAAACATCTTTTTTTAATCCAGCCATTTATGAAAAACAAACATCTTGGTGTTTCCTTTCCTCCCAGCGCGCACACTATTGCATGCCGAATGTCTGCCAGTTATCTGGCCGACGTCCGCATTGCCTGCCGATTGCAGGCATCGTCGGCCAGGCGTCTGCCAGTTGATCGCGGGCATGCAACGAAAGGGACTTTAGCGCGAGCGAGTGCCAAAGATAAATGAAGGTGCCTTACAGGCGATCGGCATTGAATGCCCATTTAATGCCAACCAGCAATCGGCAGACAACGAAGATGTCACTGCGGTCGAATCATTGGAAACTTCGGCTGTCATCGATCATTGAAAGCGTTTTATTTCCAAACAAAGTTCGTTGCAACGTTCGTCCGTCCGAGTTTTGTCCCGAAAATCTTTGAACATCCTTAAGAATTCATCACTTTTATGCCCAGTTTTAAGTTTTTGAGTATTTAGAGTGTCTGTTCCTTGGATTCATCAATGAAAATGGCCCGATTTTGTGAAACTTTGAAGGTAAATACAAATCCTAAATTTTATGTTCCATTGCACCCCGCATTGGCGCATTTGGCGGCTAAACCCGAGTTATTAAATATCCCTGCTGAATTTAAAATAAATCGAGAGCAATAGATTTTAACAAGATTAATTGAAATAAATTTAGTCTTAAAATATTAACGGTTCGCAGACTTCAAATTTGGCATTATTATTTTTCAGACCATTTTCTTGATGCAGCGTTTATACGGAGGAAGGCCAGTACGCGTTTAAAGACAAGCTCCCAAATTGGTGTGGACTTATGAGTGTGGTTCGTTTATTAAATCGTGTGCTTATGGAAAATTTCCATTTAATATCAATCGGAGGCATCTTGTATTTACGATTAAATTTTAAATGTTGTATTAAAAAATTATATAATTTAATAAAAAAATTACTTTTTGTATTATTTTAAAATATTTTAACAATTTAATTATTAAAATTGAAATGAATAATTTTTATTATATGCCTCAACGTAAATGCATAATTTTTCTTTCCACTTTTGCATTAAATTTCTTTATTTCCTTTTCTTATTTTACAGATTAATTATTTTTTACAAAAATTGCATAGAGCCTACATGCAATGACTGCATTTTATATTATATTGAATCCAAATTAACAAGTATTGGTAAAAAAATATTCAAAAACATAAAATGCAGTCATTGCATATATACGCTCTATGTAATTTTTCTAAACATTAATTAATCTGTAAAATTAGAAAAGGAAATAAAGGAATGCAAAAGTGGAAAGAAAAATGATGCATTTACGTTGAATGCGCATGCAACTGGCATGCAACGGACGGTCATCTGCCGGCCGACAACTGGCAGACGACTGGCAAGCGTTAGGGAAAATTGAATGCCAATGCATTGCCGGCCGATGATCGGCATTAAATGTTGACCGATAACTGGCAGACGACTGGCATGCAACGGTGTGCGCGCTGGGCT